TTTAGCACAGAAAATGTGTTGGTTAAGAATGAAGTCTGGAAACCAGCTGAATGGTGTTAGAGACTACATACCTCTCAAACAGGGAACTTTTAGTTCAAAGAGGTGAAACTTGACAAATTGAGAAGTATCTGAAAATAGGGCCCGAAAGGAAAGAAAAACTGTCAGCCATCGTGAACTAGCTGCAATGATTCAAACCTTTCTCACAGGATTTTTTGGGACATGCAAGCCCTGAAAGAACAAATACACTTTCTGAGTAGCTGCCCCAGAGGAGTGTTGGTACAATTCCATTTGACAAAAACAGAATACAGCCTTAGCACTGAGGAGCCCAAAAGCTGATTAGGTGAACAAGCCCATGCTTACTGTCTACTGGCCAGGGAGTGCTTATTCTAAACCCCCTTGATAGCTGCTGGCATGACATCTCTGGCTTGACTTTTGGATTCATACAGCATTCACAGGGTGAAAGCCACTCCAGCCCCCCTCTCATGAAGGGCAGTTTTTAAGAACCATAAAGAAACAAAACCGTGGCGCCAACGTGTGGGCTGTCAGTCATAGAAGGGAGACACCTGGAGATGCTGAGTTGGTGTAAACAAACCCAGGTGGTTTTAGTAGCCAGCTCTTTGGGCCCAGGTTTCAGAAGTCCCCTTCTTTGTCCTGTCAGGATCCCGATATCAACAGTATGAGGATCACTGTGGGTTTTATTTTTCCTGGGCACTGCTGTTTCTCATCTGGCAGCATCCTATCAAATGCAGAGCTGCAACGTTGACTTGCATCAGTGACGGATCGAGCCCTCTGGGAGTCGGCATAATTGGAGATCAGCAATCTGGAATCCTGCCTAGGAAGCATCAGGAAAGCGGCTGTACCTGACATAGAATCAAACCAGATTCCCAGTGATGGGAATGTTTAAGCTGTGATAACTTTTTAAAAAATCCCTCTGCTACATAATTTAAGTAAATATTTGTAGGTGTCTGTAATAGGGGTAATTGCTGCATTTCCTTTCAAACAAAAGCAAGGAGTGCAGTTTTCAGTAATGTGAAAGAGAGGCATTCTAATGGATGGGTTTATCCTGATTTTTGCTGGCAGATAGTGCTTTTCAGCACTTCTCAGGTGTCTTTTCTTGCAGCACACAAAAACTAGTTTGTGCCTGGACTTTGCCTTTACTGATGCGAGAACTGCACAGTAGCTGACAAGTAGCAAGGCATCCCCCTTCATCAGAGAGCTGGGATGGGCTCCATGTGAGGAAAGCAGCAGGAGTAAGTATGAGGGAGTGAACAGGAGGTGTCTGGCCACAACCATGAGAAGGAGGAATGGTACATACATGCCAGCAGAAAGGTGACCATCTACAAAGGAAGGAAGGAGGGTGCCTAGCACTGCTGGAAGTCACAGAGATGAACTGCAGCTCAGAGGGGCTGGGTTTGGTATCATGGCAGTGCAAACAGACAGCTTTCAGGTTAGGTTGAAGCCCAGGAATCCATGAAATAATTTGTACCTCAAAGGATGTCGAAGAGTTATGAGGGATTCCAGGCAACAGGGTGCAGGTGTGCCTTTATTGCTGTGGATGGTGTACAAGACATTTCCATGTGTTTCTTGCACCAATGAAATAAAAAAGAAGTTGGTTTGGGAATTTTGAGAAAACTTCTGCATCTGTTCTTCAATTTACCCCCGCCTCAGAAGAGTAGGACCATATATTCATCGAGAAAAGGCTGTGTTTCTTCTCAAGGGTGGAAAACAGCTGAGCCACCGTTTCCATTTTCATCAAGGGGTGAAGCACAGACAGAGCTGGCGGCAGTTAAAGGCACATGGTCCCGAATGAAAACCTACCATTTCCATTGCAAGGCAGGAGATTTCCTAGTGAAAAAGTGAGGGGAGCAGTGGCAGCTGCTTTTCCAGTCCCCATCCATAGTTCTTCTGTAGCAGAGGCCCACACCCCCAGGTTAGCCTGCTCAGGACATGTGCCACGTGGACCACCCAGAGGAGAGCCAGAGTCACAGCGCTTGTGGTCTGGGACATTTTAGAGCTCTTGGCCCCAGCAGAAGGAAACCCAAACATAATGACAGAGTCAGAGTCTAGCCCTGACAGTGTATCTGTGGGGTTTGGGAGCTCTAGGAAAGCAGCACACAAAAAGAAAGTGTGATAATATTAGGAAAAAAAAATAAAAATACCCGGCTAGCAGTCTGTAAAGAACTGCTACATTCCTCAAGGGCTGGCTTTGCCTCCTTTGTCTGATTCTAGTGCTTATAATACTTAATGGAGCAGGGTAGGTTTACAGTGGCCAGTTTGCAGATACACACTAGAGTCAGTAACAGAGTGAACAAGAACTGAAAGTAAATTTCAGTTTGTTGGGGTTTTTGTTTGTTTGTTTTTTCAACTTTCTTTCAGAACAACCTCAAAGGGGGCAGTTCCCATGTTGCCAGTGCTACAACATACTCCTCTACCTGCATTCCTGCTAAAAATGAAATAGGAAAGATTTCTGAACAAAAAACAGAGTCTGTGATTTTTAACTTTCTGTCCCTCCCATCAAAGCAGTGATTATGGTGAAAAGGACAATCTGGAGTTGTTTTCTCGGGACTCATCATGAGATAGTTGTAGCTGGTAGGTTGGCTACATCACTGATAAACACCTGTACATTTTCCACTCTTACAGTCCTCCTTGGCCTCCAGGCTCAGGGCAGAATGCAGAATAAAACAGATTTTTACCTGAAAACAAAGGTAAACACATACACACAAACAAACAAAACACAAAAAAACCCAATTACGCCCCCCCAACCAACCAACCAAACAAAAACCCCCAAACTCTACTAAGCAAAAAGATTTCAGAGAAAATCCATCTGAATTGGATTCCACAATTCTTCCCCAACACCAAAAAAGTGTACAAGTTTCCAGGCCGGAGCAGAAAGGTTATATATAGCACTGCAATTTAATTCACATGACAATTAAAAAATACATGAAATGGTCTTCCTTATGCATGAGAAAAGATTATCAGAGTTTTCCCCTTTTCCTCTTTTAGCTTATTAAAAATGTAACTCCTTCAAGAGTAATAAATTAAGTCGGAAAGGATTACTTAAGTGAGACACAGGTTGTGATTAAAGGAAGTTTGGAGTTCAGGAGAAGTCTGTGTTTGAAAAACCTCCTCAGTGTTTGGAGTATTGCATATGGCTTTTAACAACTAATTTGGGAGAAAAGTGGTAGGGAATGAACCTCAACAGAAAAAGCTCTTGTTTTTTGTCACTTTGTGACATTCCTGAAACACTGTTTCCCCTCATTTGTATTCTCCCTCCCAGCTCCCCCCAATAAGTTTGTTTTAAAACGTATCAAAACAGAAAAGACTTTGAAAAAGGCAGCAGACCTGTCATAAAGGATGATGCTAGCTAGTCGGGAGGTTACACTTTATTATGTAAATCCATGTTTGGGGGTATTTTAAAATGCATATCATGTGGTTAGAAGCAGCTAATTAGTTTGATAAACTGTACTGGTTCCAAATAAAGCTCACCAATCCATAACGCCAGGAGCGCAACTTCTTGCAGCTTTCCAACCTACCTGATTGACCATAACTGTCCCTCTCCTGTACCAGTCAGTCTCACTTGTTGGAGCGCTGGTCCTTGCCAAATTTCACTGCTCAAATCCATCTCGTCCTGCTACTCCTGGGAAAATGTTCCTGCAGCGCTTTCCCATGGGTAATTCCCTAGCGCTGAGCACCCCAAGCTTGAATTCAGATTGGAGCGGAAGGAAATAAAACTTCAGTCTGCGCATAAATCCTTCACTTACATATAAAGCCAGTGAAACGGTACAGTTTTCCCTTCCTCTTCTGTAATTTACAAATGGCTAAAATGATTTTCCTGGCAGAAACATCCATTTCTTAACTGCTTAGTGCCCACACTGGCAGCACCCGGCTGCAGCAACGGCTCTGTGAGTGCCATCGCTCGCTCCAAGAGGAGCTGGATGAAGAACTTGCGACGTGTAATTTATTTGGTGAATATAGGCCCCTTTTTGTGCTTCCAAGAACTCTGGGGAAGGCAGGTGGGCTGGGTTGTTGGTTTTGGGGTTTTTTTTTAATAGTTTGCTGAAATTCTTTAAGGATCTGCTGTGTGTTTGCATGCAATCTCTGTACATCAGTTGCTTGTTGAGAAAAGGGTTTTAACGTTGGCACTTCAGGTGTGGGGTATGCGTGGCCTGCCCAGACGGAGGCCATGCACCTCCTGGGTTCTGGCACAAGCAAAGGGCAAATGTGGGGAAAGCGCTTCCAAGTGAGTGCCGAGACACTCGTGTAACATCTACGGTTCAGCTAGCTCCCATTCGCCTAAATACGCCTGAAATCTGCAGCACCTCACGCGCCTGAAATAAAAAGCTAATAGCACTCGTGGGGGTGGTAGTCATTAGAGACACGCAAACGCTCGTGAAAAATGCCACGCTGACCGGGGCACCAGCCTCCCGCTCCAGCCTGCCGGGCCGGGCCGGGAGGGGCTGGACCCCCCCAGCTCCCCTCCGCAAAACTTCCCGTGGCACAAACTTTGCCGGCAGTTCCCCGCCCGCCCGCGGGGAGGGTGACAGGGCGCAGCGCGGCGGGGCGCGCCCTGCCCTCCGCCGCCGCCACCGCCCCCTCCCCTCCCTCCCCTCCTCTCCGCTCCCCTCCTCCCTCTGCGGCGCTCGGCGGCCCCGCCCCGCCGGCAGCCCCGCACCGGGCGGCCGCGGCCGCAGCGCCCCCGCCGCGGGAGGGGGCGGAGGGCGCCCCGCGCTGCGCCGCGGCCCGTGCGCGCCGCTCGGCGGCGGCGGCGGCGGCAGAGGGTGTCCGCATCCCTGCGTCCTCCCGCCGCGCTCCCTCACCTCGGCGGCGGTCGCCTCCCGCCCCCGCCCTCCCCTCCCCCGCACCGCCACACGCACACGCACTCCCGGCGCTGTGTGCGAGGGCGGGCGCCGGGAGACGGGCGGCGAGCAGCGCGCCGGCAGAGGAGACCACCGCGCACACGCACACGCACACACACACACACAGACACACACGCACACTCCCTCCCGCCCTCCCTCTGTGCCTGCTCCTTCCTCGCCCCCCGCCGCCTCCCCTGCTCCCCCCTCCTCCTCCTTTCTCTGCAACGGGCGAGAGAGGGAGAGGGGGGAAAAAAAGCCACTTACAGGTATTTGTTTAGTGGATCGGCGGCTTAATTTATCCCCGTCACCCCCTCCGCCACCACCACCACCACCACCACCTTCCCCACCGCCCCTCGCAGTTTGTTTACAAGTATCAAAGTTGTAATTGAGGAGCTGCCAAGGCACATCTGGATATTTTTCTTCTTCTTCTTCTTCTTTGTGTTAGGGACTGATGTGCAACTAATTAAAGGCAGACAGGCTGGTAGCGTCTGCACGCTCAAGCCCCCCCAAATAAAGAGCCTGGTAAGTGACTGGTTTGCTTCCCCCCCTCTCTCTTTTCCCCCCTGATTCTTCGTGGGTTGCTTTTTCTGTTTTGGTTTTTTGTGGTTTTGGTTTTTAGGTTTGTTTGTTTGTTTTTAGAGGGGTCGTTTTTTGTGTTTTTCAAATTTTGTCGGTTTGTCGGGGGCTCTTTTTTTTCTGTTGTTCTTGTCCTCTGGGATTGTAAAAGTAGATTAATGCTAGACTTGGGCAATAAAAGGCATCGCTATATTAATTTATTAATTAATCTGCACCCGCCCCTCCTCCTGAATGTTAAATATGACCTTTGATCTCTCTGTCTTTGGCAGAGCAGATATGCAATATTGAACATGTGCGGTCACATTTAGCTTAAGCAGGGACAGAATCGCAAAGCCCGGCTAGCAATTTCTATTTATTTATTTCATTCGTGGAAAAGAGAGCGATAGTTAGGGGGGGGGAGGGAAATCAATAACTGCGTCTCGGGTACCCTTTTCATGCTCCGGAGATGCATCGATTAAACAATAATGACCCGGTTGGTGGGCACCATCATTTTCTCGCTGCTGGTGGCAATAAACCCTGAGAGGGGATCGCGGGGAGAGGAAAAGGTAGCCAGCGAGGGAAGCTTTTGTGGAGAGAAGCCACTTTAATGCTGGGGGGAATAGGGCAAGAAAATGCGTATGACTTCTGGCATAAAAGGCTGAACGCTAACGTTTTATTCCTTACCAGATGCGGGGCATTCACACACATGGCTGGAAAAACTAGTTTTATTGAGTAGTTGTTATCGAGGATATGCGGCTACGTTTTCCTGTCTGGAAACGGGAGAGGTGTTGGTTTTTTTTTTTTTTTTTCTTTTGCTATATGCAAATCCTTCGCATCCCTCCACGAGACGATGCTTAGCCTAGAGCTTTCCGGGGCAGCCTTTGTATTGCCACTAGACCTCTGAAGGCAGCGAGAGTCTGGGTTTTTCCCTGACGTGGAAACACAGAGGTGGCTCCTGCAGGCTCGGGGTCTTTTTTTTTTTTTTTTTTTTCTCCGACGGAAAGACGCCCACCGGTCCCCAGTGCAGCCGGGGGTGAGGTTCCTTCTGTAGATTTACGCTCCCTTCATCTGGATTTGTTTACAAAAAGCCCGCTTTTTAGTGCACAACGTTGGGAGAAGACGAAGTTTTTGCACTCGGTAGGTTGGGCTGCAAACGGTTCATTAATCTAATTATGATCGTAATTACCGTAATTGATAACCATTTTGAACTAAACATACCGGAGTCTGGAAACTAGACGTAGCCCCACGACTGCCTCCCGAGAGAGCGTTTCTGATCGATAGCCCTACATCAGAAAAGATGCTGGAAATATCTGAACTATTCAGGTAGAGCATCTGGAAAACAAAGAGGCAGTGTTCATAAACTGAGAGCTTTTTAAGTTATGCTTATGTTTTGCTTTAGTTCGCGCAGGCTGCTATAATATATCTTCCTCATTGCCATAAACTAAAATACCCCCCTTCACCTCCCGGGGGAAGAAGGGGGCGGTGGGAAATAAAACGGACGCCGTGTCCTTAGCCCCCTCCTAAACTTTCCTAGCCCTGAAGCAGAGAGCCATCTTTCCCCGCCGAGGGCTAGTTCAAGCAGGTACAGCGACGTGCCCTCCCGAGCGTTCCTGGGCTGTCTCTCCAAGAAGCCCCCTGCCCCGCAGAGGGGCTATCCCCGTCTCGGTGTGTGTGTGTGTGTCCCCAGCCCTCACTGCGCAGCCCCCGGCGGCGGTGGCGGGGAATCCTCCCCGAGAGGCTGGGATAAATGCTCTGTCGTTAGTACAGCTGCAGGCGCCGGGATCACAGGCTGTGAAATTGCTTAAGTTTGGGGTTTTGTTTTTTTTTTTAACCTAGTCCCGTCTCTCCACCCCCCCGCGGCCCGCAGGCAGCCCCCCCGTGCCCGGAGGCGGCGGGGAGCGCCGGAGGGGGGGCCGGTGCCGCCGCAACCAGCGCCCGGCGGAGCCAGCTGTGCCGGCAGGCAGCTAATGACCGCCGGGCGCAGAAGGACACCGTGGCAGCTGGCGGCTCCCTCCCCCACCTCCCTTTTTTTTCATTTTTTTTTCTTCACCTAATTCCTTTTATTTATTTCTCCCCCCGCCCTTTTTCCCCTGCCTTTTCATTTTTCCCGGTGCCGGTAGGTGGGCAGCACCCGGTCCCCGTGTCGTGTCCCCCCGCCCCCCCACCTTGTCCCGGGACCGGGCTTATACTCTGCCCGGGCCGCCCCTTCAAGCCCTCTGCCCGCGGGTTCGGCGGCGTGTGCCCCCCACCCGTGTCGTGCCCCCCCGCCTCCCCCCGGGGTGGTCGTGGGCGGCCATGAGCGCCCCCCGCGCGCGCGCACCCCCTCGGAAATGACTTTTTGTGTTTCAGCTGCGGCAGCTCCCGTGAGGATGCCGGAGGAACGGCTGCCCGGCCAGGCACCGACCGCGGGGATGCGCCTAGTGGAGGAGGAGGAGGATTAAGCGACCCCCCCGCCCCGTCCCTGTCCCTCTCCCCGGCCCCCTATCCCCCTGTCCCGTCCCCCCGCAACGCCCCCTGACCCGGCCACCATGAACACCAACGTGTGCGTGGAGAGCGGCCCCAACCCCGAGGCGCCGGGGCTGCCCAAGGACAGCCACCTGCCCGAGGGGGCCCTCAACAGCCTTGTGGATTACAACTCGGAGATGGAGAGGTACCGCTCCTTCGCCACCTTCTACAAGACCAACGGCGGCGCCTTCCCCCAGGCGGCCAAGATCGCCCGCATCACCACCCCCATCTTCCCCAGCGCCGCGGCCGCCGCCGCCGCCCGCATCGGCATGTCCCCCTGGAACTGCGACACCGCCACGGCCGCCGCCGCCACCGCCATGCTCTGGGGCAGCGGCGGCGGCGGCGGCGCGGCGGGCGGCGCGAGGAAACCCTCCTCCTCCTCCTCCGCCGCCGCCGCCGCCGCCTCCGCGGCCGCCGCCGCCGCCTCCTCGCTGCACGCCGGCAGGGGCGGCATGCACCACCGGAGCGACTCGCAGCGGCTGGGCAAGCCCGGCTGCCCGCCGGCCGAGCAGCCCGCCCTGCCCATGGCCAACGGCAACTTCCTCTCCACGCTCGCCCCCGAGCACTGCCGGCCGCTGGCCGGCGAGTGCATGAACAAGCTCAAGTGCGGCGCCACCGAAGCCGAGATCATGAACCTCCCCGACCGCGTCGGCACCTTCTCGGCCATCCCGGCGCTGGGCGGCCTGTCCCTGCCCCCCGGGGTCATCGTCATGACAGCCCTGCACTCCCCCGCCGCGGCCTCGGCCGCCGTCACAGACAGCGCCTTCCAGATCGCCAACCTGGCGGACTGCCCGCAGAGCCACGCCTCGGCCTCGCCCGCCTCCGCCCTGGGAGCCGCCGCCGGCGCGGGGGGCGGTGGAGGCGGTGGCGGCGGAGGCGGAGGGGGGGCCGGCGGCACCGGCGGCGGGGCCGGGGCGGGCAACCCCGCCAAGAAGAAGCGGAAACGCTGCGGGGTGTGCGTGCCCTGCAAGCGGCTCATCAACTGTGGAGTCTGCAGCAGTTGCAGGAACCGCAAAACGGGACACCAGATCTGCAAATTTAGGAAATGTGAAGAGCTTAAGAAAAAACCGGGCACTTCGCTAGAGGTCAGAGGAGATGATTTCTTTTTCCCCAGCCTCCCGCCGTCCCTCCTCAACCCCCTGCCCCCGCCCCTCCAGTGCTTCTTGTCTAGCTTCAAGATGCAGCATCCCTTCTCCGAGGCCTCCTTCAGGCTCTGAGGGAGCTCCCGCCGCGGGCGCGGCTCCCCGCGGCGCGGCCCCGCTGCCCGCCCCTCTCCGCCCCGCAGGGAAGAGAAACGCCGCCCCCCGCGGGGCCGGCCCCGGCAGCTGGCCCCGGCCCCGGCCCCGGCCCGAGGAGGGACGGCTGGGGAGCGCCGGCCCCCGCCCCGCCAGCTCGTGGCTGTTACGGGACGATGCTAACCTGGTTTACCTGCCGTGCTGTTTCCATAAGACTGCTGGCTCGCTCTAGTTCCTTTTTCTTATTTTTTTTTTCTTTTCTTTCTCTTTTTTTTTTTTTTTAATTAACGGCAATAATGACGGTTCGGGGAGGTTTGTAGGGACGGGGAGGTGGGAAAGGGAAAGTTTTAGCAGAACGCCCGGCTCTCGCTGTCAGAAGTTCAGGGGAAAGCGATGGCGAGTTCATCTCCAGGTTGGCTGGTAGCAGTTTGTCCCAGACAGACAACTGACCGTAGAGCCTGGCAGTCGGTGAAACGTGCCCAAGTGCTCTCTCTGGCTATGTCTTTTACGAAATAACCTGTTCGTGGTGTATTAAACACAATGGAAGAATAGCACAGGTATGACTGAACTGACTTCTGACTGAACTGTATGTACGGTTATTTTTACGATGTGTCCTCGGAACAATGTATTGTGCTCCCCAGAGCTGTAACAACAGGTTTTCAGGTTTGCTAGACGTAGGAGAGACAGGCAGATCTCACGTTGCAGACATTTCGGTTAATGTATTGGGTACGACAGACAATGGGAACCAGAATACACATCCGTGAGGAAAACGGCAATTGGATGGTATTGTTAGGGGGAGGAAACGAGAGAAAAGACTAGTAATCACACTTAATCCCTTGTCATTATTAAAATTATAGTGTTGCTGGTTAGATGCACATATCGGATGCATTTGAAGGTGTTGAGGATGATGGATTTAGTACAGAGGAGTAGTGTATGCCGGGTGACACCAAGATTTGTAGTCACAGAAATCAGAAACTAAGTGAGAAATTGCAACTTCCCTCTCTGTGTGTGTGTGTGTGTGTACGTGTGTGTGTGTATGCCCGTGTATGTTTGCAGAGTGGTTTATTCCCTTGCTCATTTCTTGCAGGAGTTCTCTCCAGGAAGAGGTGGGATGAGGGATTCCAGGGAAAAAGCAACCCTAAGAGCCAATTAATTTATTCTGTGTTAAATAAATGGAGATAATGGTGTTGATATTGACACTGCCATGGGACAAAAGCAGCATTTGGGGGTTTAACTGACATTTGGTTGATACCATTAACTCTTTCCTAACCAGCGTCATCAAAACAACTAATTAATTCATTTTTGCAAGAGTGAACTGTCCTTGCTGAAAGTTTGATTCATAGCTCTCCCTCCTTTTAGCTCTTTTTTTTGTGAATGTATGGTGACCCAGCATTGCTAATGCAGAAACCAGGATGGACTTCCCAGGGGATAGAAACTAGATTGGGTTTCCAACTCTTGTTTTCCTCAATAACATGCCTTTGTTGCTTTTGTGGCGAGTTTGCAACAAAGATACTCAATGCCCCACTCTGTTAATGATGGATTATAATGCTGAGTACAGCCTAAAAGAGACTTCTCTGAGTCAGAGGCTTCCCCACACATCCTCCCCACACCACCCAGCTCTGGGGTGCCTTTGTGTGCCAGGTTCCCTCATTAGGCTTGCAAACCAGGATGCTGCTGGGATTTAATGTTTGTGATAAATGATAGGTTCTGATGGCTTATCGATTTGTGCAGAAAGTGAGCTATCTCTGGAACAAATTTATACGTTATCAGATCTTCCTATGGGTTTGTGTGTATCTCTGAGCACATTTCCAGAATTTCCTCACTCCTGACAAAGGTGTTCGACAGCATAAAAACTTTTCAGGCGTGTTATAAGAATGCCGCCTGTTAAAATTGTTTAACCACTGTGACTAGTAAAGCCTGTGGTTTAATTAGGCACTTGTGTGCTCTCATAACCACCTGCCATCATTTCTTTTCTTCATTCTCTCTCTCTCTCCCCCACTCACTCTCTCCTGTTTGTCTCCATCAGATACGTAAACACAAAAGCTCCTCTGCTGCTGTACTGTGACTCGAAGGAAACAGGCTTCTCTTTCCAGCTGTGGAGATGTCAGTAAGGCATCGTTTCTCTGCAGGTCATGGCCCATCACAAAGTTTTGTCACGGGATGTGGCTGATTTCTTTACAGAAATGTGGTTCGTCAGTAGGAGAGGAAGAGTAACTTTCTTCTGTGGTTGTTTTCCTTACGTCTTCATTCCTCTTCTTTTTTAAAAAAATAAATTACCTAATAAAGAGTGACAGCAGAGCTGCCTACAGCACAAGTGCAGCAGCAGTGCTCTGGCCGTACAGCCACCAGCTGGAAGGGTGTCAGAGAGTAACAGGGCCTACATGAGGGCACTGCAGCGGCAGTGTTGGTGTCGAGGGGCAGGCAAGGGCAGCCTCTCTGCAGAGTGAGCCTCTGGAGTGACTCATTTGGCCTGTGCTCCTGGGGAAGCCCCCACTCTGTCTGTGTGATCCCCTGGCACCTCGGTAGGCACACTCCCATGGAAATGCATCAAGGATTGAGGGGCTCACATTCCACTACACACTTGTAAGACACGCTTGTGAATTGTGCTCGACAGTGGCTGTAAGTTGCAGGGGTGATTTGAGGCAAGGGGTGAACCATGTTTAAAAACAAAATAAATGAAACATGAGAATAATACCAATAAACAGTAAACTGGCTGATCCCATGAAAACCATTTCTCTCTTTTTCCTTTAAGTCTCTTCTACTGGTGCAATGAAGGCATAGGCTATAACTCTCAAAGTTAGTACATGGAGTTGAAGACAGATTCACATGAATGTTTTCTAGTCCCTGACCTGCACATTTTTAATGGAATGCTTCTCACCCAGCATTTTTTTTTAAAACACTTGAATTACTTTTTCCTACTTTTCTTGTACTGTTTTCACATTAAAAGTGTCCCAATGCTCTAGTATTTTTCATAGAATGTTATTATTACTAGGAGATTTTATGTACGGCAATAATAAATCTATAAAAATAAGATTGACGTCACGTTGCACGCTGCCTACTTGTGTATGTATATCCTGTGTTCATTCAGATTTACAGTCGGTTTAAAGAGACATAATCTTTATTTACCCATAGAGACTACTTATTTTCCTCTGATTGGTGTATGTGTCTGTAACTTCTGCTGCAGGTTATTAGGAGCCTGGTGATAGTTTACATTCCCCTCTCTTTGAAGTGAACCACCGTCATTCAGTGTATGCATCTCATTTGCCCTGCTCCTCATTTTCATTAGCATGGCAACAAATTCAGGCAGAGAGGCTGACTTGCATTGGAGGGGCTGAAGGGTCCTGCCCAAATGTGAACTATCATCTCTTTTAGGCATGCTGTCATCATAGCTGGTACCACTTGCTTTCTTCGTAACAGCCCAGCTAATTGATACACGCGCTCTTAAAGAGAATGTTTGCATATCAACCTGATACAGTCGATACCAGCCTCCCAATCCGAGGCACCTCGCTGAGTTGCATTTCAAGCCAGCGGGAGTTTGAGATGGCCTTCTCCAGGGATAGGTTGTGATGATTGATTTCAGCAGGAACGGCGTCTGATCCTGAAAATCTTAACACCATATGGCATTGCCACGGGGGAGAGAGGCTGCGCTGGCAACCTCCGAACTTGCACTTCGTGTTGCAGTAGTGCGTGTGAGCACGTTAAGGGGAGACTGCTGAGCTCTGTGGATAGGGGTCAATTAGTAGGGGCCTCAGAGGAAGCAATTTCCCTGCCGTCTATCTAGCTTTAAATTACATGCACGAGTTAAGTGACGGCATGATGGAATTGAGTGGTGTGAGGGGGAACTGTAAAGTCTGATAAGGAGCAGGGGGCTAATGCGATCCAACTGGCTAACTGGAAAGTGGAAAGAAAGGCCACCTTGTAGCCTGCGTTGCCGTTCATCACTTAATATCAGCAACGTTGCTGTATGACAGTCCGTCTCTCCTGCCTGCCGCTGCCTTGTAGCCCTCCATCTGGCCAGGTCTCCCCGTGTCCATGTGTTAAACACTGTGCAGAAGAGGAAAAAAGCAGTCCTTGTTCCTGGACATTCACAGCTGGAGCAAGAACCACAGTCTATCCTGAGCGCAATTCACACTGAAACTGGCTGCAAAGCCCTAATTGACCCTGAGTCCTGTTTTTCCCCCTCTTTCTTCCTCGTTCATGCCCTTTATACTCTTCCAAGGGTGCTCTTGTTTTCCTGTTTCCAGGCCTGAGCCTGCAGGGAGTGTGCCTGGCACTGGAACTGGTTACTAGCACCATATGAGAGCCCTTGCTGGGTAACTGTGATGCTCTTGCTTAGGACTTCCAACACAGTGCATAATCCCGTCACGATGGTGTGGGCAGGGAGTGGGGGGAGTGAGAGGCAGAGCAAGATCTGACCTTTGTTGAGTGCTTTGTGATGTTTTTTTGTCACTTTCATTCAGATATCGCATGTCTAGGTTAAATGTACACTCGATGATGAATTTTCCTTTTGATCTCTGGAGGTTCTTGGGGACAAGACAAGGCCTCCTACTGCCACCTCCAGCAGAGACCAGAGCAGGCACAAGCGTCTTTTCTCACTGGTGCTTGCTCTCTGCTACTCGGAAATCTCATTGAAGCTAATTGACCTTATGTCTTAGGATCGTATCTTGCAAGGCAGGAGTGCACTGTGGTAGTTGCGGTGGAGGGAGATGTTTAGAGCTCAGAGGAGTCGAGCTTTTGGTCTCCTTCCAGTTCTGGCAAATCACTGAGTGCTAGTGATTTCCTCTGAAATGCAGTTGGATGTTGTCTGGTTTACCATTTCATATGTTGTTGCTTGCCTTTCCTCGTGTGAT